CACTATTTTAATCCTATTTTACATTTACCGGAATTCAGGATTACAATTTGCAGATATGTATAAAATAGTCTATTTAAATTAAAACATTCTGAATTTTCCTACTTAGCAAAATGAAATAAAATAGAACCGTATTTTATAGTTACCCAGATAAGGGACCAATCATTAATAATGGAAGGGGGGTGAGGGGCGGAGGGTGAGAAAAGGGGGAGGCTTCAACTGTTGCCTACACTGGTCATCCAATGCAGTGCTTCCACTTGCAAGGACATTTCTTTGCAAAAACTTAAAGAAATAAAATTTACTAGGAAACGGCAAGGAATTTTGTTTTCAGCAAGGAAATAAGGATATTATGTTATTTCTAATAAATCCTAAGATTATAGCAATTCCCAAGCAAATTCGCGTCAGGAAATGTCAAAAATCCAAATCCTGCTCCTGGGGAATGGGAAATCTGAAAAATTTCTGAGACATGACCTCAAGCCTCCTGTTGCAGTTTTTTATAATTAATTTATAATTTATAATTGCAAGATTCATGGTGTTTCTCACCCGAGAAATACACCGTCATTCAGGATAAATTATTGTAATATCAGTTTTAAACTAGTTAAAATTCATCTTCATCAAAGGAATTTTTGTCAAAAATAAGGAAATTTTGAGCAGTTGAGAAGGAAATTATTTTTTTGAAAGTGGAAGTGGAAGCACTGAATTTACACCCCGCCATTTTTTATACGAAGTGACTATATGACCGGCAACCGGTCACGGTTTATAAAATACTAAATGGCCGGCAGTCACTAGACTATTGTTAAAGTTTAATTTTTATAAGATAAACCTATCCCCAACCCCAAACCCTTTTCTAACCCTAACCCCTAACCCCTAACCCTAACCTTTTGAGAGTTAGAAAAGTCGGGAAAAAAGTTTAAAAAATTTTAAGAAAAAACAATGCTAAGTCAGACGTTTTAAAACACATCGCGACCCCGACTGCGCTTAACTTTCCGCACGCAGCGCCCTTGCCGTATGACCTAACGGCAAGCTCGGTACAAGTTAACGCAAACAAAAGTTTTTATATTCAACTATAGTCACTAGACTGCCGGCCATTTAGTATTTGATAAACCGTGACCGGCTGCCGGTCATATAGTCACTTCGTTTTTTATAATCAGTTCGTGATTTCGAAGTTACAATATTTCGCTCGATATTTCGAGCCGATGAAGCCTTATTAACCGTGAATAAACGAAGATGAAAGATCAGGGATGATTGAGTAATATCCAGGTAAGAATCTTGTTATGTTTTATGTATAATAGAGCAATTTTGAAAGGAAATATTTGCTATCTTCATTCGTGAATTTTGAGAATGCACGTGTTTGATGACCTTTGATGTTTCGGCTTAAAATTTGAATTTGCCGAGCCGATGAAGCCTTAATAAGCGAAGATGAAACATCAGGGATGACAGAGTAATATCCAGCTAAAAATCTTGTTATGTTTTATGTATAATAGAGCAATTTTGAAAGGAAATATTTTCTACTTCAATCTTCATTCCTGAATTTTGAGAATGCACGTGCTTGATTTTTCGGCTTAAAATTTGAATTTGCCGCGACAATATTTAGAACGATGATATAAAACGTTAGTTTAATTCAAAGCTTACATTTGACTCCTGAAGTCTTTATATTAAATTATATTTATTGTATTAACTAATGCCAAATAGTTAATAGTTGTGTATTGCCAGATTCCAGTGGCAGTGTTTCTTGTATCAAAATTAATATATTATAGCTTGGCATCTACTCAAGTTTCAATCCTCAATTCTTTATATGCTTATAAATACCTAGGCATATCCCAGCTAAATGTGCATGTCTCAGTTACATAATAGTCATAGAATAAAAGTTATTCTGAATAAGGAGTGCATTATTGCCATTATATAGTAATTAACACACAATTTATGAAAACTGTATGTTTTGAATCAAGTATGATTCACCTTCAGCAGTGTTTCACAAGATATGTCGTTATATTTGCAAGACATGCCGTTATATTATTTTCTACTTATATCTATCTAGTATATTTGCTGAAATTATCAGCCGGAAAAGGATGTCTAACACCAGGTGTTGGTTGCATCAAAGCTGGATTCTTTCAGTTCTGTTTGATTTTACCATGTCTAACATCTGAGGGTAATAGTACAATGTATTAGGATATCAATGGAATGGGGGTATAGAGGGTTAATTTCAATTTCCTTTGTATGCCATGCTTAAGTTTTTAATGCCGGGTGGGTCGGTTAATAGGTAAAATGTTAATTTGATCAATTTGTTGTGTGGCAACTTGATTATGGAAGTGCCCTAACTGGAAACAGTCAAAGTCCTTTGTTTGCTTGTTCAAAGTTTATAATATATGAATACATTTATCTATACCACCTGCATGATCTGCTTAATAATACATGTAACAACCTTTGGGCTACATTTTATATATCTTTAGACACAACCCGGCAAGTCACGACAATGGTGAAATTACCCATTTCACTCCGAAGTGCCCAATTTTCAGCAGTTTGTTAATATTTAAGTGTTTCTGTATCTTGCCTAATGTTGGACAATTTTATTTGCCAAGGAAAGTATCCAGCTAGACTCATGATATTTCATACCCATGATGTTTCATGTTGACATATTTAGATGTAATTTTCCTTAACACTCCCCACTTTAAGTTCTGCACACAATATTTAACTGTGTTGTCTCAAGCTAGACAATTTTAAGGGGGGCGGCTGCCCCTCTTGCCCCCCCCCCCAGTTCCGGTGTCCCTATAAACAATGCCATTGATTTGACACTGCTTAACCTGCCCCATTCACCCCTGCCGCTGTTAGACTGTCACAACCTAGCATTGACAGCTAATAAGAATACAAACTGTTTTATGTGTATTATTTTATACAATTTTAAACGATAATATACCTGTCAACCATGGTACTAAGCTAATTTGATATTATTTCATTACTATTTTTTAACTGGTTTTAATTATCATACTACAATTTTATTACTTTATAAAGAACTATGTTGCAGTGCTACTATTTTTATATACTATTAGGTATTTTATTGTTATTTTATAACTATTTTATTGCTACATTCTGACTATTTTATTGCTATTTTAAATTCTACTATTTTATCAGTATTTTATTCATATTTTTAAACTATTTTATTACTATTTTTGCAGTAATTTTATTACTATTTTTAGTTAATATACTGCAGTTGATCCACTATTTTATATGTATTTTCGACTATTTTTTACCTATTTTATGTATATTTAAAATCTATTTTATTACCAATATTTCACTTTACTTTATTATTTTATTTCTATTTTGCACTCTATTTTAAATATATTTTATCCTATTTTAAACCTATTTTAATCTGTGCTTCACCGATTCAGAAAAATAAAATCTATTTAAAATAGGCTATTTTTTGTTTCAAAAAAACCTATTTATAATAGCCATAAAATACAATTAAAACAGAGTTCTAATAGGTTTAATATAGGATTTGTATATGTGATAGCAATATAATAGGGTTAAAAATAAAATAGCTTTTCTATAGGAATAAAATAGAAAGTAAAATAGGGATAAACTACTATTTTTATATACTATTAGGTATTTTATTGTTATTTTATAACTATTTTATTGCTACATTCTGACTATTTTATTGCTATTTTATGACTATTTTACTATTCTTTTATTGCTATTTTATAACTATTTTATTACTACTTTCTGACTATTTTATAACTATTTTATTAATCATTTTAGAACTGTTATGACTCTCGACTATTTTATTACAATTTTATTACTATTTTTATACTATTTTATAAGAATTTTGAACTATTTTTTTACTATTTTGTTCGCTATTTTATCACTATTTTAAATTCTACTATTTTATTACTGTTTTATCAGTATTTTATTCATATTTTTAAACTATTTTATTACTATTTTTGCAGTAATTTTATTACTATTTTTAGTTAATATACTGCAGTTGATCCACTATTTTATATGTATTTTCGACTATTTTTAACCTATTTTATGTATATTTAAAATCTATTTTATTACCAATGTTTCACTTTACTTTATTATTTTATTTCTATTTTGCACTCTATTTTAAATATATTTTATCCTATTTTAAACCTATTTTAATCTGTGCTTCACCGATTCAGAAAAATAAAATCTATTTAAAATAGGCTATTTTTTGTTTCAAAAAAACCTATTTATAATAGCCATAAAATACAATTAAAACAGAGTTCTAATAAGTTTAATATAGGATTTGTATATGTGATAGCAATATGATAGGGTTAAAAATAAAATAGCTTTTCTATAGGAATAAAATAGAAAGTAAAATAGGGATAAAATAGGGTTAAAATAGTGTTGATTTTCGTAAGGGATGGAAGGCGACGCCAGACAAGATTTGAATTTAAAGTTCCAACGGTCAAAATATCAAAAGTACAATAAATCACGAATAGTACATCCAAATGATATAAAATTTACTCATCAGAACAGGAACACAATTTATAGTTCAGTCAGAAAATTTCAAGCGAATAGCAGCAAAACGACGGATATATTTTATACAATAACCCAGATTCCCGGTTTGTGATGAACGACACTGCAATTTGATACAAAATCACCACAAAATAATCCAACACAACTCCTTTCAATGGATTCACACCAATTTAAAAATACAACAACCAGACGAACCAAATCTTTAGCTTTAATTAGATGTATAGATCATCAACGTAAATTGAGAAAATACTTATTTATGGCCGGAATAAAACGGAGGTCATTCGACCGTAAACCTATTTAACCTTAAATAGGTTTACAATACCATCAAGATTGACAGCTTGGATGTCCGATGTGATTTTTTCTATCCGTAAGCTTCGATAAACACAGTTTTGCCGTATTGGTTTACCAGAGGGACCCGGTACAAGTGCGATGTAAGCTTCTCATCTATTCCACCGACCTTGGTGATCGACAGTTGAACTTGTTTGCCATGCAGTTTCTCTTCTTTAGCTTTACTGTACGTAATAAGACAAATAGATGCTGCACTGTCCCACAAGACGTTGGTCGACGCTGGTTTTGATTCTTTGGATCTGTAAGAGGCAAGTACTGTTGGTCATATCACCACAAGCAGCGGTAAGGCCACTCTTTCGTTCCATGTGAATAGTTTTGTGATGTGTTCCTTTGCATCCATTTTCGCCGCAGGCTTTCTTTCTCTTGCATTCCGCTAGTCGATGACCAACTCTCAGGCATGACCAACACGCTGACTTGTCCTTCTGCAGGTTAATTCTCTCTTCAGGCGACTTGGAAAGGTAAAGGTTCCATGTATCTGTCCAATGATCACTATTGGGATGAAATAGGCACTTGTTTTGTGAGATAATGGTTTCCTTCTGCTGCTCCGTATTACTTTCATCCTCATGGCCATCTTCCTCTAATTTCTCACTTGCAGTAAGATTGACTGTCCCAGCATATGAAGTATTGCTTCGTAAGTTGCTGGAATCATACTCAATTGCTCTCTTACAATTAAGCAGAAATTTCAGGAGGCTTGGAAATTTATCTCTCTTGTCGACTTCGCTTGTATCAAAGCTGACTAGCTTGGCCCACTCCTTTCGCACATCGTTTGGCAATTTCTTCTCTATTATGCTCACAGAGCTAGTAGTAGTGAACTCCTTTTCTAGACCGAGTCTTCGCAAATCTTGATAAGCATCTTCTACAATATTAACAAAGTTGTTAAATCTCTTATGTTCTCCTTCTTTTATAGTGACTTTTACCTCTTTAATGCTGTCAATGACTACGTCCGCAATCTTCGCTGGATCCCCATACTTTTCATCTAAACGCTTTAACATCTCTTCTATGTCGTCCTCTACACTTCTTACAATAATGAGAGGTTCTCTGCCGAGACATGATCTCAAGGCATAAGGTGCAGACTCTTTAGGCAGTCCTGGTAATACTTGCTGCTCGAAGTCTTTCTTAAAGCGTGGATATTGTCTAGTATCACCGTCAAATGGTGGCATTTTCAGTTTTTCCAATCTGAGGTTACACGATTCCTTACTTTTACTTGTCGATTCTAGCTTCTTTAGTTTCTCCTGTTCCTTCGCAATGCCGACTGCAATTCTTGATGTTATGGCATTATACTCCTTTTGAATATTTTTCATCCAATTAAATTCTGCATCTGCTTTGTCCTTATCGAGCAGTTCAAGGTATTTGTCATTAGCTTCCTTGCAGTCGGCCACTGCTGCATCTAATCCTTCCTGAGCCTTTTTTAGAGCAGCCGTAATAAAATCCATTTCCAATACTGGTTTCACATCCTCTACTAACTGCTGAAAAACAATTTCACTAGTTTTCCTCTTTATTGTCATCTGCTGAACCATCTTTTCCATTTTTTCCTGGTCTTTCTTAGTTGTCTCTTGAAGTCTTTCTTCATCCACAGCCTTTTTACCAGCTGCTGCTTTACTTTGGACATAGCTTACCTCCTTTTCCATTGCCTCACCAAAGCTCCTTTGCAGCTCCTCAATCCAAGTCTCTTCGTGCTCGCAGTCCTTATCTTCGATGAGCGCAACCTACATATCGTGTTTGCTTTCCACATTTTTCCACAATTCTTTTAGCTCTACATAGGTTCTATCTACAATCTCAAGTCCCTTATCTTCAGCAACAGCTCTTAGAAATTCCTTTAACTTCCTAGTAAATTTGCTCTTAGCACTTGTTCTTTGACTTTTGGCACTTTCTATTTCGTCGGACATCTTTGTTTTTACACGTTATTCGGTTCACTACGTTTAATAAACACTAACTCATCAAAATTCTGGCATAATTTAGGCTTTCGTACCTTCAGAGACGGATTTCGAATGTTTTGTTAGCCGCTTTCTTCGTTTTCAACCGCCATTTCAGAAACAAACAACAACGAATGTCAACGTACATTTAATAGTTTCGAAATCTAAACAATACAAAATTACACATACTTTTACAATAAAAAAGACATGTAAAATACAAAAATAATGCAGATAAACGTAAAGTCACATGCAATTAATTACCCGGTGGTCTCCTCGCAATTAAACGGCTACAAATTCTTAAATATCGCCTCTTAAATCACTTTCTAAAAGTCTACAACACTCGATCAAACATGGCGTCCAAAATATCCTTATATTTTCTATCAACCAAAAGTCGCTTCCGTGAACTTCGTGATCTCGTTTCTCATCGCTCAAAAGTCGTTCGCTAAACTTTCGTACTAAACGAAACAATTATGTACTATACCTTAGAAAGGCTGGGGTGAGGCAAACCATTCGGTTTTGACATTTTTCATCACATGAAATCATGAATCAACATTTTCAAATTAATATAATAAGGCACTTCAGTTCAGTATTTTTATGCCTACAAACAAATACTGTAAAGAATTTGTAAATTCGTTCTCCTCCCTGCCGAGGATGGCTGATGTTCTCCAGTTTTGAAGTATGAACAACATATATGTCTATACTTTTGCACTCTGGTGTTGCTGTGCAAGTGTAGCGACAAGCCGCCTTTCCCCCGGCAGACATATGTGTGCATGACATTATAGACATATGTGTGCATGACATGAAAAAAAATTAAAGTTTTTTGGAAATGATTAATTAACCTGGCAATTTGAAAGAATTATATTCTCCAGTTTTAAACAACATATATGTCTATACTTTGAAACTTTTATTATATTGTAATTTCTGATAAAAGCTATGTAAAATATTTGTGTACGTCGTGCGAATTTAATACAAAGTTAAAATTGACAAATTAATTGTCTGCTAGGCATTTTCTTTGAAAACACTGTCGTAAAATTTAGTTGGTTTAACAGCACTTAAATTTTTTCAGCTGTTAGGTATTAACTGTGCTTCACAGCCTTCACTGTTAACAAAATCTATTCAATTAATCAATAAATTGGATATCGGATAGTATTAATTCTATGTTACTAATGTTAGCAACTTAGGTCTTAGCATATCAAATTAAATTAAATTGTAATAAATGCTTTTATTATATACACAAGGTCTGGATATGAGGTATTCTGCAATCTGATTGGTTCTCTACTAGCAGGATATTAGATTATATCCTGCTAGTAGAGAAAAACAAAATGGCGGCCAAACTGAATTTACGATGTTTTGCAAACGAGAAAACGGCAAGTTGTCGCTTTTTATAGCCTTCATAAGATTAAAAACACAATGAAAAAACTCCCACAAATTGTTTTCAGGTTCGCAAATAAATTTTTAATATTTAAAATGGTTAAAAATATATATTTTTGAAAAAATAATCGGCCGAAAGAGCGAAGATAAAAACATAAACAAAATAGAAAAATATTGAAAATATTCGAAAAGCAAAGTCTGTGAATTCAGACCTTTTGTATATAATAAAACAGTTATTCCACTCACTCTCGTCGAATATGAGCGATAGCCGATTCGGCGCTACGCGCCTCATCGGCTATCAGCTCATATTCGACTCGAGTTCGTAGAATAACTGTTAAATATACAGGGTGTATAAAAAAAACGGAGTCCTCACATGAAGTGTAAATTTCAAAGCAAATATGAAAGTTAAACGTTTATACTTTCATTCTTTCGAAATCGCGGTCTTTCGGCTATTTTATCTACTTTATTTTATAAAATTTGGAGTTATTGCTGGCGAGCTGTGTCAATTTAAGTAATTGCAATTGGAAAATTAAAAAACGTAGATTTGTTGAATTCACAATTTATTTAAACGTTCCAAAAAATAAGTTGGAAGTACACATTTACTCAACGTGGCCTCCATTTCTAAGTTCACACAAGTTCGTTCTTTGTCTCATATCCAAGACAAGTCTTCTTCTTCCCGAGTTTCCTTTATTTCGATTTGAACTTTATAGGGTGGTTCTTCCATTCAATGCATATGCAGCCGGTATTTGTTGACATTACGCCAAACGCTCGATGAAGATTACGTCTTGGAAAAGCTATTTGAAATTGTCTTAACACTGCAACAACGCTTTTTGTTTCGAAATACTTTTAAACAATGGATGTTCTTTCCGGAATTGTTAGCTTTGGCATTGTGAATGGTGATTGTAAAGTTTTAAACAACAACGTTCTAAATTTTAGCAAACTACCTTTAATTAAGTCCCCAAGGGACTTCGAAGATTAATATTTCGAAGCACCTAAAAACGAGCGCTTGTACTAAATTCTTTTTATTTCGATTAGCCTTCGTTCAAAATTTTCAAAAAAGCCTTCATTCGAAAGATGAAAAAACAATCTTTAAATTGAGCACAAAACGAAACTATGGTAGTTTATTTTACGATAGAAATAAGGATATTTAGGACGAATCCGTTTTTTTATACGCCCTGTAGTGCAACAACTTATTACAGTTGTAGTTATAACTTATAAGCGTTCACTACTACTTAATTTGACATTTGCAAGTTGTGTGACAAAGAATTTTAAATTTCAAGGAATATTTTTATGTATGCTCAAGTGAAAAACTTTTTTGACCGATTTGTGCGCGCATCAGGTGATATCACTTATATCCGCGTTTTCAGTTCTAAGAAAATTTGGGAAATTGTTAACCTTTTTGTTGATTTTTATGGTCAGATAATTTTTTTAAAGAAATTTCAAAACTTTCTGTTACAAAAAATTGAAAATCCTCTCTAGCAATCAAACAATTTTCTAGAAACGTCGTTCTCAGAATCCACCACTATTTTCACGTCTGTTATACCCCCCTAGCTAATTCGTGCCTGCGGTACTCTGCTCACACCTTCGGCGATCGCTTACTATGCTGGGAAAGGGCAAGGAAAATGGGCCCTTTGGCAGTTTTTCCCCACCACTGAAGAATCCTTAAAAAATGCATTGGATGAACTTTAGACTTCGCTAATGCTTTCCTTTGCCCGGGCGGAATTAGCACCCGCGCCGTTGACTCGGGGATTAATAAGATTAATAATTATCCATTTCCCAATCGAGCAGTTATACTGAGCGAGCTAAACATATATTAAGAGATGCCTTATTATAACTGTAGCATTTCAAGGCTGCACAAATAACTTTAGGAATGTAGGAAAACTTCCTAGATGCCATATTCGGTATATTGTTTATTTTTGTCCCTTCAAACAAGCGACTAGACCCAGTCCTCTGCTCGATTGGGAAATGGCTTATTAGTACGTATTTACAAAATTAATAATGATAAAATGGTAAATTATTTTCATGAGGTAAAAGATGGAATTTTCAACTCCATAAGGCGACATCCAAATACCGAGCGCGGAATTTTTGCATGTCCTAGCCACGGGCCGGCCAGTGGCGTAACGGAGGAACAGGGGACCCTTAGGCATATTTGGTGTGGGGGGCCCTGTGGACTGTTGTCATTGTTTGACTGCAGATTGCCAACCCTTGAGTAGCAGAAATAGTGAGTTGCTATCTAAAAAGTCGTGAGATTGACTGAAAAATCGTGAGACTTAGAAATTTTCAGGTTTGCTCATTAATATGACCAGGGTTAACTTTAACAACACTAGAAAATAATCAATAGATATTCAATTTTATGATAGTATGCATTTATATTTTGTTAATATTAATATAACCGTAAATGCAAGGCTTATTAAAAATATGCTGTTTTTTCTTTATGGCTTTAGTAGTTTCCACTGTACAAAAACAAGAAAACTACGAGTAATATTAGGACTAACAGGACAATAAACTTAGCAGGACACACCTTTTACTTTGTAACACAAACATCACGCATACAAAATTGCTGGCGCATTATCAATACACGAATAAAGTGTGATGTTTCCTTTGAAGAGTGTGCCTTATTGTAAGTAGATGTTGCGCTCTTCGATGATTTCATAAGTTCCGAAAATCGTGAGATTTGCAGACTTAATCGTGAGATCGTGAGAAAGCAATAAAAATCGCGAGTCTCACGATTAAACCGTGAGACTTGGCAGGTCTGTGACTGAGATATTATATTTATATTGAATATTTATAGAATGTTCTGAAAAATTCCGTGTCTATAACAATAACAATAACAGTCTCCAACACATGTAACAACTACTAAGAATAACTTTTGTTTTATTTGAGATGGAATATAAAAATCAGCTACCGTTATCGATGGAGGCTTTATTATTTAGCATTATTAATTTTGCATTTTCACATTGATTCTTAACCTGCAGTTTTTACATTTTCTAATTTTCTGGGCGTTAGGCCGTGGGTGATTGGGGCCCCTAACTGTCAGGGGCCCTTAGTTTTGGAACTAACCCTACCCAATGAGCGTTACGCCACTGGGGCCGGCATACTGTTCCTTACGCCCTACGTTTGTCACTCTAACAAATATTAAGTTTTCAACTCAAATAACTAGGAAAGTATCCATTGGGTGGCCATGCTCTATATGGTGTGTCTCTTTATTTATTTATAGTCTTCATATAAAGAATATAATTAATCCCCGAGCCGACGGCGGAAGCGCCGTGCGAGGGTACTAATTCCCCCCGGCTATTTACACCCGGGGAAACGAAAGCATTAGCGGAGTCTAAAGTTCATCAAATATCGCGGGCGTGGGTCACCAATGGTGTTGGGTGGGTGGTCATCCTCACTGATCTCAAAAATATGGCGGACTGTCACGATAGCGACTGGTCCAATTTAAAATTTGCATTATAACGACTGCATGACGACAGCGAAATAGCAAACATTTCTTGATTTGATTTGATTTGATGATTGATAAATTTCTTGCAAATATATTCCATTTTTGCTCGCATTTTTGCAAGATTTTGTAAATTTCAAAAACTCTCTGAGAAAGAAACTGCGAAAGAATCGGCTAAAAGAAGGGAGCCGACGTTAACGAAAGTAAGTTTGTTTTAAATATTGATTTTATAATGGATTTAAAACCCGACGGCCTTTGCGTATATGAAAACTAAACAAGACAGCGTATAATTTCATTGTATCTTTAATATTGATTCCCTTTTTTATGATATTGAATTTTTTTTAATAAAAAAGAAAGCAAAGTTATTTG